GAGATGACCGACGGGGAGAGACTCGGCACTCGCGGAGCGACAACGAACTCGATTAATCGTAGAAGACATTAGTGAAACGAGCGTGACAGCACCGTTGCGCGAGATGAAGCATAATTCCGCTTCCCCTGCTTTATGGGGGCGTGGTGATTGCGGCAATTTATGAATTCTTGAATTTTTAACCTCCCACCCCGAATTAAATTTGTATCCTCCCCCTCTCCGACTCGCTCCACTTTTCTTCACAAACGTTGCAGCATTCGACCGGTGTTAACTAATCAACAATGCTGCCTGTACTCACTTGCGTGTAAAAAATATACATACGACGGAGAAAAGATTTAAATAATATTCAGAAATTACACCCCAACAAATTTATAATTATTATAATTATTAATGTAACATTTCTACAATAACATTCCATAATTCTTGTTTCATCTTCTTGAATTGTGACTCAATTAGAACTGTAGCTATGGAGATGTTGCTGTTCTAATTACATCACATAATTATCTTTGTATCTATATTTTCTATCGACTTCCATCGTTATGTAATATCGCTTTGAGCAATTCTATTCCGCCGCTTTTGTGTGTGTGTGTGTGTGTGTGTGTGTGTGCGCGTGTGTGCGCGTGTGTGTGTGTGTGTTGTATGTGTGATGAATCAATACTGATATTATCAGAAGAAATAAAATCTTTTAGTGTGCTTTTTGTTATAAAAATCATTTGCCTAATTTACAGTTTCTCGTTTTTGTATTCTTTTTCCGTTGACCGCACTTTTCTTCTCGCCCTTTTCTCGCTTACTCTCTTTTTTTTCGACGGCCTCACTCTTCGAAAGGATATCCGATAAAGCAAAACGATTATAACGAGAAATTACTACCTTGTAACGTGCCGCGCGGAGGCCGATTAATCGCGGGGAATCTGCTGGTACCGTTGCACAAAATCTGTGTAATTTGTAAACTTTTTTACTAGCCGCAAATGTGTAATTTGATTCGGTTTAATCTCCGTCTGGCCGACATGCTCCGACGCGACGCAACCGGGACCGTCAACGAGTAATTATTGTACTGTGTAGGGGAAAGCGAGAATAAACGTAACAATCTTTAGATCCAATCAGTTTTTATAAAGACAGAAATAAGGATTACTCGTTCCCTTTTCATTTTTTATTTATTAATTTTTGTTTCCTGTAAAATCCGAAATCGCGCTCGGGGCAACGAATTCAACTATTGAAATATTTATTAAAGCACGGCTCGTTAAAAAATACATTAGCAATGACACTTGCAATATACATAACCGTATCAAAGAGACAAATATAACAAACAATTTTTTTTATAATATTTATCGCAATATGCAAAAAAAAATGGTGATATTTAAAGGTGCTTTAGAAAAATTTATTCGATTTTCACGTATCTATAATGTAAATATTACGAAAAATAATTTGGCTTGCAATAAAATGGTGCTCACAAACCCGAAAAATTTGCTACGCACGCTTGATTTTCGTTTTTTTTTTCATTTTCGCTTTGACTTTAACTAAATAATTGTTCCGGGCGCTTTCGTTACATTTAAATATAGCTGTGCATGACGGTGTGAGTAACAGATCATTTCAGGCGGCAATAAAGGCAATGTTATAATTATACCGCGTTATCGTGTAACGCGTCTCTAATATTGAACGCTCTAATATCGAACGGCCGAAAGTGACGAGCGAGTGGATCGCGTCGCGTACATACGTGTTATCGTTTTACGAGCGAGCGTCGTCGACCGATGATAAGGCTGCCGAACGATTAGAAGAGTCGGTCCGATCAGCCATTTAATGGCGGAAGCGACTTTAACGGTTGTGAGACTTAGATTTGCTCGTTTACGTATCGCGCTCATTAGCGGACCGCCGTTGATCGGTCCGTCTATCTTAACGATTATCCTGCCGCCGCTTCTGTCGTCCCTCCTTTCGCGCGCTCTCTCTTAGGAGAACACAACCTAACGGAATAAATCAGCTGGCGTAAAAAGAATTCCTCATTGAGATATTTCAGGTAAGCAAGGACAAGCGGAGATTGCGCGGCATCTCCCGATCTCCACGACAAATTGGCTCTCTTCGTGTCGCATTGTATCTAACGCGGCAAATCTGTAAGTGCAATAACTGGTTTTAATCGCCGCTTGCTCGTGTTTCGCTCTTGTTTTTCCGCGCAGCGCGTAAATGAGGGAAGGGGGGGGTGGGGGGAGGGGGGGGAGGATAGAAGCGCCGGCGCGCGATGCCGGCGCGCTTCGTCGCTGGCCTCCGCTGTATGATAATCTGCCCTATTCTATAAACATTCAGTGAATATCGTTAAATTTTAACGATCTTACGGAATGTCGTGTGTCGTGTCCTTCGAACCTGCCCCTCTCTCTTTTTCTCTCTCTTTCTTTCACTCTGGTTCGCCGTCCTTTTCCACGACACGCTGCTGATAATTATCGCGGAAAGTACGGAAAGCCGTAAACTTTAACGATTGTCTCTAAACAGCTCGTAAAATGCGCGTCGACGAATTTGCGAAACTGAAATCCATCATCGCGGAGATATAAATCGCCGTGCGAAACGCACGCGACCGACGGCCACAGGTGATTTACCGGCGAGGAGGCAAGAAATTTTCTAGAGGTCAGGTTTCTCTGTCCTTTCAAATCCGTGGCGCGCGCACCGAAAATCTTAAAGCCGCGTGCACTGCATTTTTGATAAAAGTTTTCAAGAATTCCCTTTTAACCACCCGAACGAACATTAATGATAAAGCGATATCCCGCGGTCACGAGATAAAGGTGTCTTTGCGTTGAGGAAACACCGATGAAATATGAAAGTTGGAAAAATCTATAGACTCCGAAAATGGTATCAATTTGTCACAGCCTCTGACTATTTTAGCCCATTGTTCGAGAGATCTCCCGGCTTCAAAATATTCTCTCAATCTTACAACAAGCATAGCGTATCGCAATTATTTAAATCACATTTTCGTTGGCAATCTTATTTATTTACAAGACCTTACGGTATTCCAAAAATTTTTTATTAATAATTGAATATTTAATTCGTACATCTATACTCTTCAGGGTTGAAAAGCACTTTTTGTCGATCGATTTTGCAGCGCATTTTGTTACGTTAAAATCGAGCGATATACGATAAAATAATTCAAATTGTAACGATGCCACGGTGTCGTTTTGTAATGCCGTTGAAATTTTGTGTATCGTTAATATCCTACTCGGAAGAGTACTGTTATCTTTTTCTTGTTTCAGGCAGTTTCTTAACGGGAATTCCACTGCTGTTATATAAGTAAAGGAATAATAATAATAAAAGGCGAAAAGGTCAATCTTCTCTTAAAATATTCGACACATTCGACGGCTCATTCAACAAAGGTTAAAGTGGCACTAAAATTCTAAAAGAAAATAACCATAGCGAGAACAATATAACTACCCCTTATAGAAAAAAGGTTTTTCTCATTTCCGCCAGTGACGCACTCAATATTATCATAATATTTTTCGGAGGGGGGGGGGTTTAACATTCAAACACACAAAATGAAACAGTATGACCAAAAGTCAAGATAATTTTATACTGCACACTAAAAAATATAAAAATGTTACATCGTTTAATAAAAAAATACAATTAATTTTTATAGTAGCATAATTATAAATTGATATCGAGTTTTCTTGGTTTTTCTTAAATAATCAGATTAACTGGATTGCTTAAATAATCAGAAATTTTGTCTATATATTGTATACGAATGAGTATATGAATATCCTGATATTCACAATATGAATATCTTAAAATAGATATTATATACATTCGAACAGCAGTACAGCTGGAGAAGGTATCATAATTATTTGTGTGCAAGGATATTGGCGTGAATTTTGAATTATTAAAATTGTGACTTAATAACAGACAAAAAATACTTGAACACATTTTATTTAACTACAGATTTTTTATTCTTTGCTGTTAAGTTAATAAAAAAATAAGGTATATTAATTAAATTTTGAGGGGGGGGAGGGGAGTTAACCCCCCTCCCAAGGGTGCGCCACTGACTCCCGCTATTGCCTGCTAGAAGCATATGCAAAATTAGAGTAGAAAAAGAAAAATGAAATACAATAGGGAATTAATTGCTGGTTTTAGTACTTGACAGAGTTGCTGCACGTGGAGGCGGAATATTGACAGAAACACGTAAAAGATTTCTATCTCACAATCAGTGTCATCTTTTAAAACTATTCATTAGCATCTTAGTCACGTTTATAAGTGAGCGATGATAAAATCTTAACGTGCTGTGAAGATTGCGTGTAACGTGATAAAATGCTTTATCCCGATCTTAATACGAACGACGAAAATTGCATCCACAATTTTCATACTCGGACAAATAATGAATTTCACGCTCATCAATTGCACTTATCGATTCTCGGAAGCTGACTGTTGCGAAAAGAAATCAGAGATCCGCAAAAACAAATCCACAAGATGGAAGAAACGTGAGATTGGTGAACTTGAACTTCTCTTACAAAATGCATGTGAATTGAGTCGTAAACCAAATACAATAACAATTTAAAAAACCCTTTTCTATCGCAATGGTGAACCTAACGGGGCTGTAACGGGACTATTGTTTTACAAAGAAAAAAAAGGTTTTGTAATATAAATAACAGCTAAAAATCTTTTTAGCCCTTGCTCTGTGGGAAAATGGGCCCATTTAAAAATGGACAATTGGTATGTACATAATTCGTGTTGCTACCGTGCATTTCTAAGATCAATAAGCAATATAGTTCTAAAAATTGTACGGTCACAAAACACAAAACGAATGGAAAGAAAGGAAAACGAAGCCGTAAAAAGATAAAAGAATGCATTCTTATTGTCGCCTTTTAGAGAAGGATTATTCAACGGGTCGCGTGACCAGGACTTCTTTATTGTATTACACACACGCGGTGAACATTGCGCCTGCTGAGAGATAATGTGACGCAAATGATACAGATGCCTCGTGTCAATCGAGCGTATCGGCGCCGCTAAATAATCACAGAATATGACGACACTGAACTTACCTGCGGACACATCTTGCACTGGTACTTCCTCGGCGGATGCGAATGGGGCCCACCGAGATGAGAATTAAGATGCGACGGATGAGAGGGTTTGACGGTGAGAGGCTGAGGAACCACTAGAAGACTGGCGGGTGGGCTTCCGCTACTCGAACCACCGGCGCCACGATACTGTTCATCACCTGCAATCACGTTGACATTCATGAGAGTAAATCGAGCCGCCTTAAGTGAGCCGCCTAATGCGACAATTGTCGCATCGCAGAGTCCCGCAACGCAAATTAGCTGTATCTCTCACGGCGTACAATATTTTAATTGCTCCCGATCGTTTCCATCTCGTCGCAACCTACTTGGATTATACAGCAGATCCGCGGCCGGAAGGTAACAGTAACTGCGGCAATCATCAGTATTTTCCAGTCACTTAATTGACCGCTAATAATAGATTAAGCTCTCGACATGTGTGCGTCCATGTGTCTCACAAACGAGATTGTCATAGGTTTTTCCGCTCCGTGATTTAGTTTAATCTCAAAGCACGACGCAAAACGTCTTGCGCATCTTAGTTATTAGCGGCTCGACTATTACATTTATTTGACTCGATGTGTACAAAAGATCCGATAAGTAAAATCTGATATTTTTCAGACCAACGAAAGTACGCACAACGTAAAAAAAGTGCAAAGATTTATCTTGACAAATTATTGTAACCTGCTTAGTACCGTAATTCATCAGTAAGCGCTATAAAATATATCATGTTTCTCGCGCTTACGTTTGTCGCGATAAATGGTATTCGATAATAAATAAGACTCGCGCTTACGAACGATCGCACATGCAAAGCGTCCGTATCGATTTATACACTCAGACAGCGATACGCCGCGCGCACGCAGGTATACCGACGGTAAAATACCACGAAAGAAGCACACGGACGACCGAGCGACCGATCGACCGACTGACGCAACGACCGACGGCGTGCAAGGGGCAAGGATCCTGCGGGTTGCAAGGACGAGTGATCCTGCGTTACGAGTGCCTGTCATTAAGCCAAGTTCTCAATATCGACGTGCATACGCGAATATGTGTCTGGCCGACGAAGTTGGCTGCTGGTTGGTATGCTAGTGTGCATGCCCATTCACCGTGTATCTCGCGCCTACTACTTTGTACGCATCGACACGCTCGAAGCGCCTCGCGCGCTCTTTACACGTGTGTGCGTGCGGCCTGTAAAAATATATACCGTGTCATTCTTTCGGCGCACGAGTATCCACAATTTCTCGCTGTCTCGCGCGTTTGAATTTGAATTCGAGATTACTCCTTCGATAAGCGAATAATAAATATGCGGGCGATTTATTTGCCCCGCTCGAATATTGGTGTAGAGAGATATGAATTATGGAAATTCTGACATTGGAAAGAAATTACCTGCCACTTGATTTTACATGAATAATTTTTCAGGATAGTTTTTCAATTACTTCATCTGCATTATCGGATTTTTCATAAATGGCGCATACTAATTCCATACCATTCCATTCGTCATTTAAGTATCTCCAAGTTTCGTCATTGTGCTTTATCGATCGATGCGTCGTCTAATGTTACTAGACACAGCTGAGATTTTCACTAACACGCGATATCTCCGTGTGATTGCTGCTTCCGTTTATTTCAACATTCAACCTTGAATTATAAGGTTAATATCGATCGCGATACGCGAATCCCTTTTGTTTTTTTCTACGCGAGCATCCTTCCCGCTGGATCGGTTTTAGCGCTCGAGAAAGTCGGCGTCCAGCGGCAAAAACGACCGGAAGTGTTGTACTTGTATTGAACAGAGGAAGTTATAATAAATTACGTACTTGATCTGTTTCCTGTCAATAATAGAAAACTTACCGCTCGGCCTTGAATAGCGAATAAATGTCTCGAAAGAATGCCTCTCCCTCGGATACCACGTAAGCAATTTTACGATACGACGCCTGTGTTATAACGCGACTTTAATATAATATTTCGATTTTGACTCATTTTTCTTTGTCGCGAGATTTCAAAAGAAGAAAAAAAGACTCATGATTCGCTTAGGCATTAATGACTTCATAATTTATTAATAGCTGCTTTACAGCTCTTCACGCGCTGCGCGATTACCGCTTGTATCTTCGCATCTTCGCTCGTTACGTTCAGTTCAGAAGCGAGGACCCTTCTCTTACAAGGACAGAGCATCCTGTGACTTTTACGATAATGCACGAGCGTGTTCGCGTGAAGTGCGCGTAGGCGGATAGAAGACGCGCTTCTACAAAGCCTGTGGAGTAAGCAACCTACGCGCATTGATTTCACTTACATTAGAGAACTAATGTCGAACATGCACATGTAAAAAATACTCGCGGCAGCTGACGCGTATTGGATACGTGACGTACGCTGCAAACTGTCAACCATTTGTAATGTAATTCAAGTAATTATAAACAGAGCGATAAGCCCTAGCGCTGCTATTTCATTCGTCTATTTAAAAATCGTGTATAAATATATAGTTTGAAAAAAGTTTCTGCTTCTGAAACGATCAATAAATTAATTATTACAATAATTATTGACAATTCTCAAATGGTGCAATTGAAAATCAATCCAATGCAAACTTTTAACATTCAAAATGAACGGCACTGATTTGCACAATAAATATATATATATATGTAATATATTAACTACATAATGTTATATATCCAATAAATATACAAAGAACTTTTTGATAATATTGAAAATATAGTATTTTACATTCTAAATTACTTTTAACCTTCTCCTCAAACCGATTAACCCGATATTTTATATTTAATAGGAATAATTAAATAAATCAACGTAATTCCGAGGAATCAAAGTAATTGCAAGATGATATTACTGCGACTTGACGAGAATCGCGCGAGAAACAAGTGTAATATCGAGATCAACATCAAAGTTCAAGGCGAGTGTATTTATTGCGATGCAATTTTTTCAATAACTTTACCGCTAAAAATGTCAGTTACATAAGACTTAAGACTTTGCCGAATTAACTCAATTTGCGAATCGCTTTATTATATTGCGAATTTATTCTAACGATATTGTGCGACCTTTGTCTAATTGCACGGTGTTACACAACCGATAAGCGTTCAACGTATACGTGCATGCAGGTTTAACCTTTAATCAAACATGTGAGACAAATGAGAATGGTGTCATTTTTGAAACGAGTTTACGCATGCGCGGTGCTATTATTATGGATTAATTTATTTTATATTATATCGTTTCGCATACACGTGCCACCCGATAATGCAATCTATGGCTGCTTGCTTTACGAGTGTGCTCTGCGTTCGTAGAAAAAAAAAATTCTCTTCTTACACGACTTATTATCAAAGTACCATAAAATTACAAGTATTACAAGATTACAAGACATCTCGCAAGATTTATCCGGCTTAGTTTCCAATCTTTGGATGGAGCGTAATATAAATTCACAAATGCTAATTATATGCGCGTTATTTCAATTTTAAAACGATATGCGTTTCGTCACACGACACGTGGATTTCTTTTTCAGCTCGTACCGCTTACAGCATCTTTTACATTAATCGAGATACATGAGAATAAAATTTCAAAACTGAATTCGATTCGTGGCTAAAATAGGCGGAGAAATCGCTTTAGATTCGCGCTGCGCGCGACTCCCGGCGTGATTTTTTTACACATAATTTTCTCGATTCTCGCAATATTACTTGCTCACTGACGTTCTTTTCGCCTAATCATCCGATCTCGGAACGCGCAAAGGATTACGTACGTACGTACGCCGAACGTGTATACGTAACGTTCTCCTCGCGGCATAACTAATTGATCTTTCCAGCGCGCTTGAACCCGATAATTACCATTTACATACGTGATCTCGTGCGCGAGAGTCACGGCACTCTTTGGCCGTAACACCGGACGAAGAGGCCACCGCCTCTCCTTCGATTGCCACTTATCAGTGCATGCGGCGCACATTGCCGCGCCGGGAAAAATGTGAAAAACTCAGGCGTAGGCCTCAGGTGCAGCGGAATAAAATGCGCTACCTGTTTGCAGAAGTTAGAACAAGCGCATGAAAATAAGGATAAAAGTGAAAATGTAAATGGAACTGGACGAAGGCTGGTGAGTTTGCAGCGGCTTCGCGCGCTCGTTCATGGAAATCTACCTCCTCTCTTCGTAATCCATTTAATCTACATAATCCTTCATAACGTTTCGCCGAGATGATCTTGTTCCCTTCTTAAACAATTATACGCAATTTTTGAATCACGCTGCCGTCGGTATCTGCTGTTATTTTACATCGTGCAAAGCTCTCCGATGTAAGCCCAAGTTGTCGCGCGCTTTAAACGAGCGCGAAAATAGAGTTGGAAAAATTATATATGATTCGAATAAACAAGTTTTTGCAACTTATATTAAACAATCGTTGTATTATTTAAACGGGCGCTATTAAAGGCAAGCGGAAAGTATCTCTCGTGATGGAAATATTATATTAACTCGACTGTTTTCACACATGACAAATCTCGGTTTAGCGTATTTGTCACGGCAAAAATGATAAGCGTGGATAGGTGAAAATATTTTTCGGCATCGGACGATAATAATATATTTTCGCGGGACGTTTTTCTCGCGTTGAATTTCACATGAATGTATTTTTGCCCGCATAGTCCAGCCACTGGCTGGCAAAACACGGCGCGCGATGCTTAAACCGTCTCCCGTTTCCATTCTACGTGCCAGCGGACACGCGTGCGCAGCACGCGTTCGTGACGAGAGCGTTAATGACGTATGACGCCACACACCTCCCGGCATTATTTGCGGTGCGTAATTTTAATGGAATTATCGCGTCTCTTTCGGCACCTACGCGAATAAAAACAGTTTTCCTCGCGTCGTGTTTGACCATTTTCGGATTAGCTTGACTAACGCATCGTGGCAGTTTACATATATCATTTCGCCTTTCTATAGAATCACTTATCTCTCCTGTCCCTCTTTTTACCATGTATATAATATATACATACATTTTATAAATTTTCTCGCATACTCGGCACAATCTATCGCACGTGAAATTAGGCAACAACGTAAGCTGGTGCATAAGCGTTTCGACCAATGAGCCCGAGTCTAAAAACGAAACAAAATTGAATTTTATTTATTTTTCGAAAAAGAAGTAAGCTTTTTTCACGGAAAAGAATTATAGTATAAGAATAAATATATTGGTCTTTTTTAATCA